GCTTGCTAATAATGAAAAGAGACCCTGACCAGCTGAGTACAGCTCATGTTGGAAGTTTGTCCATGAGAATGAACAGATAAGATGCTTCTTGTACACAAGATGTGCATGGGAGTGAACGGGAGAGTATGATCAAAATAGACCTGGGAAAGTCTGTTCTCCCTGTGTGATACGAGAGTGATTGAAGGAGTTCATGAGCTAATAACAACCCTGGCTCCATAGTCTGGTCTCTTGTTTGTAACCCACAAATAGTGCTTCTTGCTAATAAGTATAAATATGTGCGCCTGCTTGCAATAAAGAGAATTCTCCTTTCCACCATCTTGGAGTTTGTGTGTGCTTCTCCACATATTCTATTCCATCTTAGCTAAAATCCTGGAGCCAATGGAAGCGAACAGAGCAGTTGTGGCTAAAGGGTCCTCTTGGCTGCAGCCATTCACTTTATTTATAAGCATTTCCATTACCATAAAGAGATGTAGGAGTGGGTTCTCATCCTGTTCCAGAGGTGAAGACACTTTAAGCAGTAAAATATCTATGCTGTTAATTGGGGTTTAATTCCCCTAAAAATAAATGTGCTTAATGGCAGAGAAGATAAATTTTCCTAGGTAAGGGTCATTTGGAGATCTTTATCCTTGCCATGCTGGACACTACAGCTCAGACTCAACACACTTAGGGCCAAATCCTGTTCGTTCATGTGCTAGTGACAGACATAGAGAACAGCTCTGATTCTTTTTCACTCGTTGGAAAAGACTGCTTTTGCTCCAGAAAAGCCCAAGTGTGTTACATCAGTTACTTTTCCCTATTAAGATAATGATGCCAAAAGCTCATATGCTGTAAATTAGGCAAGATTTACTAGAGTCAGTGGATTTGGGGGTTTTGTGTTTGTTTGGGTTTTTTTGTGGGTTTTTTTGCGATTTTTTTTCTGTTTGTTTGTTTGTTTTTAGTAACATGGCTTAGTGTCTATGGCTGCTAGGAAAGGCTTTTCAAATGGTAGTGATAGCATCAAATTTGGAGGAATATGGACAATATTGGTAGAAATTACAGGAACTTCCAGTAACTGGAGAGAAGAATCCTGATTTCATTCTCTTCTAAGTCTCATTTTCTTTCAAAGTCTAGCACAGAAAGAGGGGAGGGAGTCCTTCATTGTCACTGATGCCTCTTAGCAGATGCCCTGTTTTACTCATAACACTCAAGATTATCAACAAATGAATCCAAGTGTCCTGAAGTGATTAAAGCCTCATGCTGATGCTTATTTTCAGAGCTCTCTACAAACCCCCTGAGTCCGGTTTTGCTTTAAGATGTTGTGACTATTCCTTATGATATGACTTGGCCTTGATGAGAAATAGTTAAGGAACTTCTAGTTTCTTGGGATTTGCACTGAGTTTCCTTAGGGTAGATGATTTCCTGGTATGGGGAGGATGTGACTCCCCTCCTGGAGAGAACTAAAGCTCTGGGAATGCTGCTCCTGGGGACCCTGGAGAGGAGAGGCAGGCTCTTGGGCCTGGAGCCCACAGGCAAGTGAGACATTCCAAAGCAATTCATTGCTCCTGCTGTGTTTAAATTGTGCTGCTGGACAATACATAGTTTCGTGGAGGAGTATTTCCTGACTCGTTTAGAATTTCATGAGCCCGTCCAGGATTGCTTGTTTATCTCATCTAGGAGCTAAAACTGAGCTCTACTGCATATTTAATTAGATGGGAGGCCAGGCAAAGAATTTTGAGATAAGATTATCTTCTGCTCCTCATCACAGTCCTCATCTAAAAAGGTTGCATGGCATGCAAAAGAGAGCCTAATAGTAAGCCATTTGATTTTGAGGATCCTATACATAAAAACAGCTTTACAGAGTAATACTTTTTTTGATTGAATACTCTTATGAATCCTTTTGTGTATGTGACCAAAGAATCTTATGAAAATTAACCAGGAGATGTAAAGAGATGTTCAGGAACTTGGGACTTCTGGAGGAATAAACTTTTTCATTCCTACAGTTGTTGAAAATAGAAAAAAAAAAAAATAACAGGTGAAGAGAACCTGAGTCCCATTTTCTCATTACTGCAATGAGCTGGCAATAGTCAGAACAAAGGTACTGGGAATGGCAGTAGAAAGTCAGTCAGAAATGAAAGAGCAATGGATTTTATATTGTGGCCTTTCTGTTCCAGTTTTGCAGAAGTTTTTGTGTACATTTAGGGAGTGGAGGATGACTGGCTGCTAGTCAGCTACACGAGCAGAGTCCAAGGTAGCAGAAGAGATGTGGAGGTGATGCAAACCTGAATGGAGACCCATGAGGTTTTGTATTTAGTTTTTCACCTTCAGTGTTGGCACTAGTGTGCAGCAAGTGTTACAACTACATATCTCACTCACACACAGAACAGAAATGTCTCTGCTCTCTCTGAGCTAGCCTGCTCCTCTGTAACACAAAACCTTTCCAATCTGTGCTCTCCTCTTGCATTGAGGGTTAGAGGAAGCCTGGGGTACATGAGTTCTTACCGGTACTGGCCAGGGGTTGCTGTGGAGCTGGGGTCCTGCTCTCCTGGCAGAAGGATGTGGGAGGAGGACAAGATGGTGTTTTAAGCCTAGTTTTGCTAATTCTGTACCTCTGAACAAGTTGTTTCTGATACACAATAAACTCCTTGTCTGTGAGCTTAATGGTTATGAAATAATGGTTGCACTTCATTAATGAGTCATTAATGGGTACCAAACGATGGCTACCAAATTAGGGGAATGAATGGACAGAAATGTTTTGTTAACCTGGGCAGGAGGGATGAGCGTGTACTGGGCTATGCAGAAAACATCCAAGAAGGGCTAAAGCTATCAAGCTGCATACAAGGCTGACTTGGCCCAAGAGTATTTTGCATTTCAAGATGGGATTCAAGACATTCTTGGCCAAAAAGAGATCCGCAGTGCATATAGGAAAGCCTGATATCCTAATGCATTGATGTATGTAGCTTTTTATTAGCTTTCATGCACTGCAGTAGAACTCACCCTGGCGTTAAGCATTCATGGTGCTAGAGAAATAAGTCAAATTCGGGAATAAATAACTGCCTTTGTGGTTTCATGAGGACTGCTGTGTCTTTGCAGTTCTAAATGCTGGCATAATAAATCCTGAAGTGCTTTTTTCTCACAGCAGATGTGATTAATACAGCTGTTAGCTGGTGTGTCTCCGAGAAAAAACGTTGGTAACCCCTGGGTGGATAAGCACCAGAGGCCTGTGATTTTCTTCACATTTGAGAAACTAAGAGATAAAATATTTTTTTTCTCTTCAAATCCATAACCAGACGCAACGTTAAGACATTCTCTTCTGCAATACGCATTTTAGAAAGTGCCTGTTAAAGTGAAAATGCTCTGATGTTCTGCACAGCTGGAGCCCCTGTGAGGCTGGGCAACATCCCCTGACCCCCAGCACCTCCTGCCCACCTGGCTTGGGGCATGAGGGATGTCCAGGTGTACGATGCCTCTTTTTCACTCAGTAGCTTTTCTGCAAGGTGAGAAGGGGGCCTGTGGAAGATGCTCAGGGGTGCTGAGCCCTGTAAACTTCATGTTATAAATGTATCTTTTCTTCTCACCATGCCCATTTCCCTCCAAGGAAATCCTGAGCAGAACCCAAGTATCCTCAATGACTTTACCAGGTTTCCCTTCTGCTTCTTCTAGTATAATCACATCCACTGATTTCTGCTTGTTTGCTGGTCTTATTTGCAGCTATAAGCCCAAATCACCATTCATTTTCTATATGGGTTGCTAATCTGGAAATGGATCTAATTTGCTTTACCAAATTACAAGCAAATTAAGTTAAACACACTGTGTTATATCTGGATGCATTGTGGAGCTTTCACAAAAGAGGGAAAACTGCGTTTGTCATTGCCGCCATTTTCTCAGTATCGATAACTTCTGTGTTCTCAAAAAATATAAAACATGTCTATAAATGGTAGAGTTTTTCCTTGGGGCCAGAAGATGGATAGCTGGCACTGCATCTGTCTCACATCTTTCATCCTTTCAGCCCTTAAAGAATATCCTTGACAGCATCTTGAGTTCTATTTCTTTGCAGTTCCTTCCCTTGCTTTTAGACACACTTTGATTATGTGCAATATTGCATTTGATAGTATTACTAAGTAGCTCTGAAAATTTCCCTTTCGGCAACTGTTTCTTCCCTTTCAAATGGATTTTTTTTTTCCCTGGTTGCAAATCAGCTTTAGAGTCTGGAATATCTAAGGAAAGTAAATACCCTACTGCTCCAAATGAGACAAATATTTTGCATTTCCATTTCCTGACCCATCAGGGAGAGAAAATTTTGTGTAACATGCAGGAGAAATGTCAAAGTGAAAACATAGCATTGGTTTTAGTTTTATTCTCTGGTTAGAACAGTTGATGTTATGGAAAATGTCCAGCACTATCCAAACTTCATGGACATTAAATTCAAAGAGAGCAAATACTTTGTAGGTGCTGCCACATTTCAGTGACAGTTTTACTGACTGACAAAAACTACATCATCTGAGGATTTTGACATAATTTCTTAGTTTACTGAATTAAGCCTGAAATATATCTAAAATCTATCTCTTTGAAAGGAAATTTGCAGTCTGGATGTGAGACGGACTCCTCATCTGCATTTACAGCCACAAACATCGGCTATAGTTTCTTTCCACTAAACCACATTTATTCTGAAATAGGGGGAAATCTGCTCCTCATCAAAAAGTCTGTTTAATGCAACTAATTTGCAAGACTGTTTTTTAGCTGAGAACAATTGAGAACTCTAACAGCTTAACTGGCTGTGATAATTAGCAGTCACTAAGCCTATCTTTGGGGAAATACAGTACACTGTGCTATTTTAGTCCTACCATAGTAAGGACTGAGAAAATAATGTAAATACTCATTGCTCTTCTGAGAAGCTCCTTGGGATGGAGAACCTGTGGCAGACCTTGGGCTGGGTGTGAGCTACTGCAGCCCTGATATCTGCCTGCCCCGTTCAGAGGGTGTGTGGTTTTGGTAAACACAGGCAAGAGATTTAACTAGTCATCATGACGCCAGCAAAAACTTGGCAGCCAGGGCGGAAGTGCACACTACTCTCTTCTTGCAGGAGGGGTGGTTTTATGTTCATAACTCCTAGAAGCTGCCTTCTGGGCTCCTGCTGCTCCCGCTGCGTGCCCCCAGGCCCGGGCAGGATGCTGGGGAGGCTGCTGGGGCGCAGCCCCGGGCTGTGGTGGGGAGGGCCTCGGCCTGTCCTGCACCCTGCCAGAGCCGTCGGTGGCAAAGCGAAGGGCACTCAGGAGGTGGCTTTGCAGACAGCTAATCCAGGTAGGTAGAAAGGCTTTAGTTGCTGCATGGAGAGAAAGGATATTCGCTGGAAGGGGTGAGAGACAGACCCTTGTTCTCATCCGTGACTGTGTTACGGCAGTGCTTTATCTGCTGGGGGTACGAATGCCCCCAAGACATGAGCAAATTGAGAGCTCTGACTAGCACAGTGCTCAGAGGTAAAGTTTTTTTGTGTTAAATAGTCCTCCTCCTATGGCAGCAAATACAAACGGATACTTCATGTCAGGGAACTGGTAATTAAAAACATAAAGTTCCTCCTTCTACCCAGCTGCCAGGTTTCCAGCGGAGGACTGGTGCGTGTCACTGCGTGTGCAGGGCTGGTGCAAATAGCAGACTTGCACCCCTCTGCTCCCTCTGACACTCCCTGACAGATTACATCCACAACCGTGTTTGTGGCAGGCAGTGCCCTGACTTACCTGGCAGGCAACAGGTGTGGGCTATTCCCCCTTGCAAAAGCTTCCTTGCGTAGAGATAGTGTCTCTTTTTAATCGGTACCACCACCTCCTTCCTCACTTTAGTGGGGATGGGCTGCATGGGGCTGCCTGTGCTCCTGTGGGATAGCTCTGTCTCCCCCTGATGGTAACAAACCCAACGACAGGCCATGATGGAATGGTCTCAAGCATGAGGCTTTGCCCTGGTCTTCCTTGGGAGGGAGCCTGTCCTGCTAGTGATCCATCTCACTGCTTGCTGTGGATCTGATTCAGGCACGATATTCCAGATGTAGTTCTCCTGGTGTCGCTGGCACTCTGTAAGAGAAATAGAAGTGGGAAATTCAATTTACCTGGAGGTCTGGGTGCCAAGATTTACACTTGGAATTTTTCAGCCATTCACAAGTCCCGGCATGCATGAGCAGGCCTGTGGCCAAGGCACTTAATGTAATTTCACCATCTCAGTGCGGGCAGGAATAAATGCTCCCTATGCCCTGGTTTGTTGCAGCAGTGTCCAGCAACAGCCAGAGAGTGCAGGACATCAAGACTGGGGGCACCATCCTGTCCATCCCTTCCTCCATGCACCCCATCAACAGGGCATTTCTAAACACCAGTCCTGCATTTTCAACACAGGGCACCACAATCTACCATCTTGGATGCACCTACCCGGGTATATAAGCAGTCCCAGTTACCTTGTGATGACCACCTGTACAGCTGTGCAATGCAAAAGCCAGGATTCGAGCTAGCTTACACTATTATTGTGGGGTCTGCCCTCATCATGGCTTGTCACTAGGTTTGTTCCCATTGAGTGTAGACAGAGTCCCTTTCTCATTGTGTTCAGGGTGACAGCACACTAATGGCATCACTGTGGTAGTCTGATGGGGTGTAATGTGTCATCATTGGAGTACAGTAATGCGGTGCCCAGCTTGCATGAAAACAACTTCCAGCTTCCCAACAGGCTGTATTTGAACAGATCTTGTCCCTCCATCAGCATTTTCAGAAGGAGATGCTGTCAAAGAGTTATTAGTGCTGCTGGCAGTGGCAGTTTGCTTAAGTCTCTAGTTGGGCCATTTAAAAGCAAGATGCTAGTATGGTAAGACCATGCTGCAGGCTTGGGTGACCTCAGCCTTGCATCCTTTTCCCCCTTAGAAAGATTAGAAGAGATTTTTAGTTTAAAGCCTACCTATACTAAAGGGGGAAATATATGCAAAATGAAATAAGCTTCGAATGTAACAAAGTGTCTCATATCAGCTGCTGAGTTGTTTTGACATTAGAAAGCACATCTGGCTCTCACAGAATACAAAAGTGCCAAGGTCTTTTCCAATGTCAACAATTCTAGGATTCTGAACTTTCAATCCTTTTCCCCCTGTAATGACAGCTATTTTCTTCTTCCCTTTTTAAGCTTACCTTGTTTTCTTTTATAAAATCTCTTACAGGTTACAAAGATTTAAAAAATGACAGAAGGCCTACAAATTTTGACAAAAAGGTATTAGTATGGGCAGGACGTTTTAAAAAGGAGGAGGACATTCCCAGGCTCATCTCGTAAGTAGATCTGTCTGAATGATGTTTCTGAATATGAGTATATATTGCCAGTCTGCAATATACAGAACTGTAAGGTGAGGTTAGTGCTCCTACATTATTACACATGGTGAAGGTTAGTGCTCTTCCATGCTGACAGGGACTGCTACTGGTGTCCAAAAATAATCTGAATTTTTGGGAAATTGAACAATTTGTCATGCCCTGGGAAGTAAATGGGTTCACTTGGTTTAGATATGCCAAGTTTCATACTAAACTGAAGAATCTTTTGCAAGACAAGTGGCTTTGTAACTCAAAAGTCACTATGGTAAAACATTGTCCACTGTGGATTTTTGCATGCTTTGCTAGCTTTTATAGATTAGCAATTACTAATGCTGCATATATTTTAAAAAGAAGTTGGGGCTATATACTGCTTTGTTGCAAGTTCCTCATGTCTGGGCCTGGTTTCACCTTCTTGTTGAGGTATTCTGTTTTGGAGACCTAATGCTTTCCTGACTTGTGGCATCCTGGGGGCTCCCCCAGCTGGCCTTCCCCTTGCAGCTGTAAGTAAATCCACGGCTGTAAGTAAATCCGTTGCCATGATGCAGTCTCTTGCAAGAAAGTGTGAATTGTCAGATAAATGCCATGAGTCACTCATGGCAGGTGGTGGAGATTTCCCAGCAACCACTGTGGTTTTTCATCTGCTTAGGAAGACATTTGCTCCAACCCTGCTCAGCCCCCCTTCGCAGACAGATGCTGGCGGGGCTGGTGCCAGCTCCCTGGCAGAGAGCTGCGCTGCAGAGGGACAGGGCTGCAAACCACCCTACCAGCTGGGACAGACCTGCTCACCTCTTGCTGTGCCTCTTTGCTGTATGAAAACTCTCTGTTGCTCTCAGCCAAAACGTCATGATGTGCTTTTATTCCACCAAGGGCAGCATTGCCTGGCCCTGGGGACATGACTCCAGTGTCTCCTGGTGCTGTGCAACACCCCAGGCCCTGCCCTGCAGCACCCAAAGGTGGTACCCTCACGAGAATTCCATTATCACGATGGAAAGACTTTCCTGTCCTTGTAATTTTTCAAGTGTCTGCTCTCACATGCAATGAAAGAAAGGAGAGCAGGATTTGTTATTCCTTACGTTATTGGTGGCTGTTTGGAGTAGCAATACCCCACCTGTGTGGAAGAGTGGCTAAATCTTTCCACCGTAGGCCAATCTTTTGAGTTGTCCTCTAAGCACTTGCAGAAAGAGAAGACTGGAACATATTGTATGTTAATAGACAGTTGCTGGAAGCCTTGATGATTCATTACTCAGCTCCCCATGATCTCATTTTACACATGCTGCTGCAGAATGGAAACTCTGCTCTGTCCTCCACAGGTCTGAGGTCCTTGACGCAGCGAGAAACAGCATCAGGATAAAGGTTTGCTACATCATGATTGCGCTGACCTTGCTGGGTTGTTTGGCCATGGTAATCACAGGCAAAGAAGTAAGTATTGTTTCTGGGTGAACTGATCCGCTTAATGTATGAACTATGTATGTTCTCTTTGTAAACAAGTGCCCACGTGACAGAGAGGTTTTAGAGTAAGTCCATATTACAACCTTATCTAGTTAAAGATGTCCCCGCTCACTGCAGGGAGGTTGATGACCTTTAAAAGTCCTTTCCAGCACAACACATTCTATGATTCCATGATTCTATGATTCTATGTAAGCAATATTTGCACAGGATCTATATCACCCCATTCTCTGGAGGAGACATTGGCATGGGGAAGAACAACTTGCAGATTAATATGTTCCTTCTGACCCACTTTGCCATAAACCTGTGCAGGGCAAAGTTCTGTGTCATGACATCTCAGCAAGAGGCCAGTCCAAAGGTCGTGGAGTAGCTCAGACAACATCAGCAGTGCCTTTTTCTGCCCTGCATCCATGAACCATGAGGCTCCCATGGTCCTGCATGCCACCAAGAGCTTCTGTCCGTTCCACTGGTGGGAAAGGAGGGTCTTCAATCTGACTTGCCTGTTATAGTGCACTTGTTTACAAATTACAGTGTAATTCTCCTGCTAATCAGAGCTGCAAATGCTGAAGATTTTGTAAATCCAGTAAACACATTAACTTCTCTCACTGTAAAATATCAAAAAGACTAGTGGGGTGTAAAATCATGTGATCCAAATATGGGGAAATTTAGTGGTGGGAAACGTGCTCATGCAATGATTTTCAACATTTCTTTTTCAAGGCTGCTAAAAGGGATCACACGCTGGTGAGGATGAACATAGAAAAGAAGGCCAAATGGAGGGCTGAAGCAGAGAAAGATCAGGAGGCAGCTGTTGAGAAGCCACAATGACTGGGAACATATTTTAACAGCAGGAGATAAGTGATTCGCACACATGGCATATGTATCTGTCTTCATTTAACTCTTCAGACCTTTTTCACTGAAACTCTCTCAGTGCGAAGACTTTGCTGCTTAAAAACTACTCCGTATAAATGGGGAAACTCCTATGGAAACTACAACGGCTGCTTTCTATGGCTTCTTTTCTTTGGCACTGGATTCAGCTGAAATACAGCAATCTCTTCTAAATTATAAAGTGTGAGAAGGTCAAATGCAGGACTCCCCGGCTCAGGATCAGCTTTTTGTAGTGCTGCTGAAGATCAGCAGACTGCGGGGCTGTCTTCTTGCAGCCAGGAATGGTACAGCCCTACATCAGAGAGCATCTCATTCTGTGCAGTGCCTCTAGGGCAAACTGCTTTGGCCAAAGTGACCCAGGGCAGTGGGAAAAGGAGTGTGAAATATGTTTTGCACATGCAAAGAGATCAATTATCTCTACCTCTGAGCCTGCTGCCATCACTGTCCCCTCTGCCTCCTCAGCCTCCCTGCAGGATCTCGTGGCCAGGGGAAGAGGCGGGACAAGGGCGTGAAGAGGGGCTGAGAAGACGGAGGATTGTGAGCAGACCTTGATGACTGCTTTGGGCCAAAAGTGTCTTTGGGCCAGAGGAGCTGGTGGTGGTGTGGAGTGGTAGCTTGAGCACATAAAGTGGTTTTATTGCTGCAGGGCAGCCCAAGGAACTTGTGCCTGGTGCTGGAATCCTGGCCTGGTGGCAGCTCTTGTCCTGTTGTACCTCACTGGTTTTACTTTTTTGGCTTCTGCTTCCAGACACTGTCATGAAAGTTCTGTAGCACTTGCTTAGTTGTGATTTTAGTCAGGAGTAATTGTTAATACATGGTTTTCTGAAACTGGATTCTTTTTAATCATCATAGTTCATTGATGCATAATAAAACAGCTGTCCAATTACATCTAAAACAAACGCATCTCTTCACAGCTTCATTTAAAGTGTCACCAAACTCTCTGAGATGATGTCTAACAGATGGGAGAGATTGTAATGAAATATTGAAAGTTACATTTTCATTAAGTGATTAAACTTCAAGACAGGCCCCAGTTCATGCCTGTGGGTGCTGATGTCCTGAGCCCCTGTGTATTACTCATAAACCCCCCAAGACCTGTGAGACCAGCTGATGGAGCTGGGTGTGCTGCATGGGGTGCCAAGGGACATGGAGTGACAAAACCCAGCCACCCCACCCTGTCTGCCATAAAAGATGGCAAATGCTGTAACCATGCTCACCCTTTCTGCAGCATCCTGAGCATCACACCAAGGCTCGGGCTTTGCAAGTTTTATGGCTCAGAGCAGTTGCACTTGTGCTCCAGGAGAGTCCAGAAGCTCCTGCTCAGGCCTCTGAGGTTTATTGTGTGCCGAGGGTTAGGGCTGGGCCGGCCACTGAACGCTGACAGATGCTCTCTAACATCTCTCCCTCTCCAAAACGAGAAGGGAAATGAAAAAAGGCAGAGAGACTTACAAACTGGAAAAGAAGATTAAAACAACTTTAATGAAACAATAATAGAAATAATAAGGCAGAGGGGAGCTGGATACGGGAGCTGGATTCAGGAACTCAGGATCGGGATCTAAAGTAGAAGATTGGACAGGGTCTTCCTTGGATGCCAGCCGTTGAAGAAGAAGGCCTAAGCCCTGTGATCCTTCAGTTGATACTGAATATGATGTAGGTAGAATGGAATACTCTTGTTGGTCACCTGTCCTGTCCATTCCCTCCCAGAGGTGAAACCTTTTACTTTCTTGTGCACTCTTTTACTTCCTGACATCCACAGCGTGGCACACAAGAGCCAGCAGTGGCCTTGGTCACTGTAGGAATAAGTATCGGCAAGAGTCTTTCTGCATCCCAGTCCCTGGTATAACTTTAAGCGTCAGGTGTTATCCTATCAGCAGACGCTATCTGGGCATACACGCTGCCAACTTCAGAAAAGTGCAGCTTCTTAGAAGAGACTGAACTGAGAAAAAAAAATCACTAAACCAACTTGGTTCTGTTTAGCTTAAACCAGGACAATTGTGTCAAAAAATCATGTCCAGAAATAAGCAGGTGGTCAGCAGTTGTTGGGCTCTGGGACTCCATCTCCTGTGCCTGTGGTTGTTGGGCAGATTTTTCATTTTTATGCTTCTTAAGAGCACTTCTCTTACATTGTACACCCACCTAGGATGAAGAGCATGTGTGAGGGGGATGTTTCATCTGTCACAGTTCAGTGTTTGCCTTCCTTGTTTCCAGGCTGCAGACCCATGCAGTACAATCTGCTAAAAGTGGTGTCTGCTCTCTCTAGTATTCCTCACAAAGCACATCTCAGGGAAGTGAAAATAATGGTCCAGGACATGCAAAAGTGAACAAGTCTCTGCTGAGAAGACATTTTTGCCGGCACAGGTAATATGGGCTTTTCCATTTTACACGACCTGATTTTCTTGGTTAGTGCAACAAAGCACTAACAGAGTTAGTGGTCATTTGGGGATAAAATAAAATAGCTCTGCTCAGCTTTTTAGATTTTGTTCTCCTTTATTTTTTTTTCCCCCATTCTTAAGGGCCTTTAATGTGCCTTTTTTTAAGAAGGAGTATGTAGCACAAAGGAACCCATTTTCATGCTCGTAAACAAATTCACATCCATGTTCTGAGCTCCCCTGACTTAAGTATGAAAGGAGATGACCAAAACCATATATAAAGAACAAGCAAATTAATTGTGACTTCTTCCACTCTCTGCTCTGCACTTCCCTCTGCCTGGGAAAAAAAAGACTGCTTCAGGTGTGAGCTGTTATCAAATGTCTTAAACCCGCTGTATCTCTGTTGAGTAGTGTAGAAAGCTGCTGCATTACACTTTGCCATTAAGAGAAAGGAAAAATCAGTTCCTTCTCCCTGAGCCACTGCTGATGGGCCACTTCTGAGCAATCACATGACCCAGGTCATTTTGTGCTCTCACAAAGACCTATGGCTATTATGTAGGGAATAATCCTTCACCAGTCCCAGCTACATGATTATTGGCTTTAATATCATAATATTCCCCCCAAAATCGGTTGGACTAATCGCTTCCTTGCACTTGGTCCATGGCAGGTGGCTGTTGGAGCAGTGTCGGTAGTAAATGGAGATGCCAGCAGAGGACATTTCACTGCTGAGGCCTCTCCAATGCTGGGACTTCACACTGCTTGTTAAAATCAGTTTCCATCTGTGTTTGCAAAGTCCTTTGACTCTTCTGATGAAAAGCTTCTAATTAACACAGCTTCCTGAATGTATAATGGCTAATCCTCACCACCTTCTGCTTGTGCTTTTTTTGTTTTGTTAATTTTTTTATTTCCCCTCCCACCTATATTGCTTCAGAGTCACACCTGATCTGGCAGTCATTTAAAAAGGGGATGGAGTCTTTATCAGGTAGGTGTTTTTCTTCTGTTTTCAGTAACGTGTCCTGTCCTCCCCCATCCTGGCCCTGAGGATAATGTGAGGGGCTGACTCCTTTCGGAGGTAAGGGATGGAGCTCAGAGTATATTGCTCTGTCATGATGCTTGGTGAGACCAAGCGTGAGTCCTTTCAACTTTCACCTCCTCATTTACTGCTTTGTATCAAGAGGAAAGAATGCTTTCTCCTTTGCAGGATTTTTGCCATTTTAATGAACTCTTATATGGAAGTGGTCTAATAATGTGCTGGTGCCATTGACATTTGTGTTATAGTAACAATCACTGGGGAAGATTTTCCCTAGTAGTTGGAGTTGATATAATTCTGCTTACATTAAAAGCAGTGCTGCAGTTCCTCCTGGCTGTGGGTTAAGGTTATTACCATTTTTTGAAGTTTCAGTGTTTTCCAGAGACTCAGTTTCCCCAGGGAGCCAGGCTCCTGTGGGGCAGAGCTGGATGCACAGAGCTTACTTCCACTAATGCGGTGAGATCAAGCTCGTATGGGAAGCTCTGCATCATAAGAATCCCAATGCCTTGGAGAAAAGGTGGGAGATGAGAAAGTCTGAGCTCTGATCTCAATTCCTTCTTTACTCATTCTACTTCTCTTTTTGACCAGGTCAGGGAGCTTCTAGCAACACTTGATTTCTTCCCATCCATCTGATATGTGCAGCTCTTCTCCTGGGATCGAGCAAGGCTGATGTGGTCCTGCACTTGCAAAGGATTTTTTCCCTGGATGCAGATAAAATCTTGCTATTCAAAAATATCGCATTTTAAAGACTTCCCTGTTCTCTCACTATTTAGTCTCCCACGAAGCTGGAAAGGTGCTGCTTATTTCAAGGCTGAATGAACCCATCCTCAGCTTCCAGGCATTGGGCATTGTTTTCAGTATGGAATATAAAACATCCCATCCCAACTCTTTCCTGTATGTAACTAGTTGCCCCTCAGCTATTGTTTGCAGATGGATTCCTGCTATGTTCAAAACACCTGTGGGTTCTAACCCATTGCTTGGTGAGTATCACTAGCTTACTGGCCAGTTAGGTGATTGATGCAATGGTGAATTTATTCCTGTGTCAAGCGATTTTACTACATTAGTAGCCTCTTCATCAACCATCCAAATAGAATAACAGAATCACAGAATGGCTTAGGGTGGAAGGGACCTTAGAGATCATTTAATCCAACCTCCCTGTCATGGGCAGGAGCGCCACCTCTCGACTAGACCAGGCAACACATGGGGACCGAGGGGAAGTCGAACTCGTGACCTGGGTGATGTCATTGTTGTCAGCACCATACTCATCCCACTGAGCTAATAGATTTTTTTGTTTGTTTGTTTGCTTTAGCATAGGATCAATAAAGTAGTACTTTTGCAGAAAGAAATATTTCCCGACTTTCCTGACTACCCTGGAAAATTAAATAGCACAATGGTTACACATCAGAAACTTGCTCCCTTCTGTCTGAGCTCAAGGTACCAGCATCTGTGGGAGCAATATAGCCAGCCAGTGGCTGCAAATCTGGGTTTGCTCCTGGGATTGCCAAGGCTCAGTTTAAAAGGAGCTTCAATGATGAAGGCCTCCT